TTCCGCTGAACCTGCAGTGCTGGTGTTATCGTACTTTTCAGTTCTTCATGAGACGGCGAAGACGATAAAATTATGTTATTAATCAAAACTATAAATTTTGCCGTATAAAGGTCGATAACTGCTTCGGCTTGTTGTTTTCGATAAGCGCTTAGGGACTAATTTTCTTCAACCCAGTGATTGAGGAAATGCTTCGTTGATAGCCTTAGATAACGTCTTTGCCATTAAGGAATAATGCTCTAGCTTCTAAGCACTAGAAATTTTTATTTTCTTACTTTCAGGTTCCATTGTTTGGTATTATCTTAAGAAAGCTAAATCGTGCGAACTGCAAAGCGTTCGTGGGTTTTCTTCAAAGCATAAGACTCTTATTTATAGCCCATTAAGCTTTGTCTAATGGGTAACTTCCTGATTATCTCCATAATACAGGTGTGTGCCAGGCTGGTCGCTGAAAGTTGATTGATGCTTTTGCACCTAACGAGATTTTTTCAGTTGACCTTGTCGACATTTCGACGAGTGTCACCGCCAGTTTTTTTGGCCTAGTAACGATGGTGGTCCGGCCCATATGTCTCCATCTAAGCATTATTTCTTGCTTGAAAATATGCAAACGACGCTCTCGATTAATCCGCACACTCAAATCAACCCGTCACACCCATTCCGGGATTACGGACACAGCCTAGCCATCATATACGAACAACCAACACTTCCTTCTTTAGTAAGAAATAATTCTCCCTCTTAATCTCTTTACATTATTTGTTGGTTTTTTTATTTCGTTTGTCAGAACTCTAAGAAATACGATAAGTTCCTAAGGATAAGACATCTCCATTGTGTGGTCGGTCCAACCATAACAAGAAATTTGCATATTACTGCATATTAACAGCATATTATACGGTACTCAGAAAAGTCGTAATGCATCAGAATGCGGAATAGTACCCCTCGGAGAGCAAGGACGAATCGCCGCTGTTTCATCGCTGTAGTCGGCTTTTCTTCGTTAAGCAAACAAGCGCATAGCATCCATGTCCGAAGTCACAGTCACCAGCGAATAATACTGAGGAGCAGCGCATAGGGACTTTTAGTTTTGGTTACTCTTCCTGTTTCGCTATAATTTTGCAATTCTCCATATGAAAACGCAGTCGGCGTGTAACGCAGTCGTCAGAGGTGCTGCACATACGTGGTCTTTGCTCCGACCCTGACCTCTGTGTTAACCACGCCGTCCATCCATACATTCGAGGTAGACAAATTGGTCCGAGACTTATCAAGGATGATGAAGATGATGAGTTAACACGTCATTATGCAACCGAAGTTCATTGCACAAACCAAACATGCTTTCATTCACTTCTAATTTGCTCAGCCAAATCCATCGCACAGCGTTTCGCTCAGATCAACTCCAAAAACTTCTCTCTTTCTTTTTTCTTTTTATCCTTTATACTTTGTCTTTCTTTTTATTCCTAATCCCATGTAGAGTATCGTAAAATACTGAGATGAAGCGATAAACTTGAAACGAGCCCTTCTCACTTGTTCGTTCTTTTGAAGAGCTATGATGTAGTGGTTGTTGGCCCTGAAACGCGAAACGCGAAACCTCCTCAATATTGAATAGCAGGTAAGAAATTCTACTCTTCAACGTAGATTCTTGTCAAATGGCGCAATCGGAAATTTTTCGGTGTCGCAATGGCATGAAATTTCTTCCATTTCGAGAAACGATGGATTTTGTTCGGAGAGCGAATTTAAGTGGGCTATCCTTTAATGGCGTTCTCAGCAAGAAACAACCCTCTCCCATTCTTCGCCACGGTACGCCTTCCGTACTAGAAATCAGAATAAGAGTTTTGTTGGAATCTCTTAAAAACAGGTTGCTTTAAAAGGTGATTTTATCTTACAACTCTTTAACCTACCTTATCTCAGCGAACGAAGTCATTTTTCAAAGTGATGATCAACTATTTTATTTGTCAAAAGAAATCAATCCGAGTTAAAAGGCATATGGCGTAAGCTTGACATGAGATGCAGCAAAGAAAAATCCTGGGATACGTGTGCAGTAAGCACGTTTAATATGGCATAAATAGTTTATGAAATACCACATTTAAGTCAAAAGACCGACTTTCTATAAACCTCGGCATAGATAGTTGATATATTTATTTATATGATATTATAAACTGGTGTTATTTAGCTTATGCGAGGTTGGTGTAGGTCTTCGTTGTCTTTATTGTCGTTGTTGTCGTTGTTGTTGGTCGATAGCTGACGTTTCGGCGATTTCGCCTCCCTCAGAGCCTGAACGTATAATACTTTAATTATTCGGTAGATAAAAAGGCTAAAGCATTAATGAACATCAAACTTTTAAATAGACGCTATTTGATCAGAAAGGCTACTCACCGTGATGTTACGGGTAGGACTGGCCCACGCGTTCTTCATGTGGAGTCGCGAGCGAGGCACACCCTGGGGTCAAAATATCATTCAGCTAAAGAATCGCATCAGCTGAAGAAGATCAGTTTATAAGATCGCATTTAAGTCACTTCCGAATTTTTTAGGTACAAGATCTGACAGTGTATTTTCACCAATCATAAGGGTGCAGAGACAGTTTCCACCATTTTTCTCGCCATGCAATCCCTTCCTTTCCAAGAAATGACTCTGAACGACGTATTTCATTACAGAAAACCCCAAAGATAAAATTCGAGGAATACCATTCGTGTTACTGCTCAGAACTGTTGTGTTGTGTATACGAGTGGAATTTAGGGAATCAACACAAACCTACTGTTCAAACATTTCCGTGCACACGGCTTAGTGGCAAAGCGTTTTTCACTAGAAACACGATTATGCTTGCGCTAATCGCCACGGCATAGATGCAACCCCCACTCGCCTGCCTGCCCAACCATCCTGAAAGGTCGGGCGATTCAACATTTTCAGAGGAATGTTGTTATTTTTGGAAAATTTATGAGGCAATTACGAGCCACAGAGTTCCATAACACGCTTCCGGTCCTCAAGCACCAAGTAGCAAGTTTCTGTCGCGGTTTTCAGATACCGTTGCAAACAAAGAATATAATTCTCTTGAGTTACTGAAGACGCTAGCATAAATGGGAAACTAAAAGTACAAGGAACATAGTAGCGAGCCATCAGCTCACTCAATTCTCTGTGACAGGAGCCACACCTTTTCGTATCCCAAGCTTTTAGTATCATTTTCGCAAATAAAGAAATTTTCTAAAATTCTATGGCATTATTCAGCAGTAATATTGCTACCATGAAGGAGGCAAAACAGTGGCAGTTGTGCCGTTCATCACGAGCAAGGTACTGGTTCTACCCCGCGCTGAGTTCACCAAGCCTCTCATACCTCCGGGGTCGGGAAATTGACATCAGGCTTGTCTGGGAACAATTCGCTCACTGCAATCGAAGTGAGGACGCTCTATCCCGGCTCTCTAGGGATTCTAGGTATAATTGACTTGACTATCATGCAACGAAATTCATACAGAAGACGAGCTTCTCAAACAGCAGCAGAAACCACATCCGAAAAACTCAAAGACTTTCGTAGATAATGGACATGAGGAAATTAATAGAATGTAGGAAGTGCTAGGCCGAGCACAATGGATGTGGAAACGGGTCGTGTAAAAAATTGTTGTCACCGTTAAACCATAAGATTCCTCGAGAGTTCGTCCACAGTTTTCATTCATTCACATTCTTTTCATGTTCGTTACAAAATGGTTCTAGAGATTCTGATGCGAGATTCCAACCGGGAAGACCACTCTTCTGCGCCGTGGGGATTGTATCGTTATCTCTTGCACTACTCCAGAGCTATTGAAGCCAAAGTGTGTTGTTATAGATCCCTTCTTTTCATCGTTGACGTTGTGGCTGATGGCGCATGGATTATCACTCATCGCTTGCTGTCGTATTTTAAGCTAAAATTTCTCGAGTCACCTTGTCCAGCACGTCTCTCTCTGTTTACTTTGATGGGATTGACGGATTACCTCGCTCTACTCAGTACTTTTGCAAATGCAGTCTAATTTGCCACTCGCCACGCCCCTTCATTGGACACACCCACGCGTCGCGAATGCTTAGCGTTTACTCGCCTGTCTCCCCGTCCGTCCACTCTGTTGTTACGCTACTGCCGAGTCGAGCACAATGTCAGATACCATTGTCATGATTGTATTAGTATGATTAGCTACCGAGAAGAACGTTTTTGATTGGTCAAAACTCACTACACAGTATTTCTGAGGAGGTTTGGGTGTTTTTAGTTTAAGATTTGGCTTTTCGCCCTTTGGTGCCAAAAATCTACTAGGCTGTTCTCTAATTTCTGGAATATTCAGAGTTTTAAAAATGATTACCTTTATCAACCATCACTACTAACATGTTATTTTTAAAATAGATCTGCTCGTACTAGAGGATTTTCCATTGCATGCCAAGTTTCTCGTACGGATTCCCTTCAGCGTGACAAACATTTCGAGCTGTTTCATTGCCCCAGTGATATCCAATGACGCTCGCTGCTTCGTTCGTTTCCATGGGATTCTTCTGCTGACTTGTAGGATAAGCTTAGATTTAAAGAGACCTATCAAGCACGTAGAAGAATGTTTTATAATCGTTTCGATTAACTAGTAGTGAACACTAAAAACAGCTGAGGAAAATGGATTCTAAATGCTTCCAATTGTTCCGCTACAGTTGAACGTTTAAGCTTAGCTGACTGGAAAGATATTGATGCCTAAAATTGTCCGGGATTTGTTAGGTCCATATCGATTTTTGAGATATTCCCACTTTCTACATTTATTAGGTTCTGATGTATTAGCCTCTAACATATCTAAGGCCATTTCTCTGGATTTCGGTTCGATTAAATTTTCTCTGTTCGTGTCCTAGTTGACTTCATTTGCATTAAAATTTATGGCTGACAGTTTCTATAGGATTTATGATGCTGAACATTTCGTCTCAGTTGGGTTACCAAAGTTAGCTAAAAGACTCAGTTAAAGGCTTTCGCATTGGTAGACGAGATTTTGCTGCCATCGAAACCCTTAGTGCTCAGCTAGCTCTTTTTCAGGATGCAGCGCCTCCACTGCTGGCTTGATCAACTGACGCTCCGTCGGGGGCGGAATCGTGATGCCAACGTCAATCGCCGAATCACCAGCCAGAGTTTGACTCCAATCTACCGTGTGACCCTCGAATCGAAGAACAAGCACAAGCTTAAGCCTACCAAAAGTAAATCTATTCTACCTTGGTTTCTTCATATTGCTGTATCACACAGCTACACTTCAGCATCATCACAAGCTTCGCCATCGTCGAAAAATTCCCAGGAGCCAAGGAACGCTATGCTTTCCGTACCAAATTTAGTAGTCAGCGCTCCATTTATGGCGCGGAAACCCGAGACGGGGTCATTTGCAAGGCGAAGGGTAAGATTTCCTTCGGTTATTCAGCTTTATTTTGTTTTGTGGCTTGTTTTTTGTCCACTTTCGAGCATCTCTAAGAACTTATGCCCTTCTGGGCCGTTATCATACAAGGGAGTTGCGAAATAAAGAAAAAGTGCTGGAGAAAATTGATTTTTTATTAAATTTTTTTCGAAACATTTGGAATAGTTAAGTGACAACACCGAATAATCCACGGGATCTTCTGTTGGCTTCGTTTTTTTTTCAGCGATTCATTTGTCGCTTTTTCCACCTGAAAAGCAGATTTGCTATAGTTTCTTTTTAGTTTCTCTTAGAGAAATTTCCTTCGGAATATTTAGAAAAATCATCCTTTATTAATGAGTTCAAATATCTTTCTTCTACCTACAGTTGTAATTGAGAGTGTCTTGTTATTCGGCGCCAATTGCTGCCTTTGCTAAACCACGTAGAATTGACAGCGCTTCTCCGATTCGGGTCAAGCGGTGTTTAGAATTCCGATTTCTCATGCAAATTAGCCGCTCATGGGAGAGCCACCTCAACCAACAACTTCGATGTCACTAAATCGCTCAGATGAACACACCATGAAAAGCATCTACTGAAAGGAAAAGTAACATAAGCAGTTCATAGCGTATTTTCAAAAATTGTGTATTTAAGTTTAATTATTATAATAAATCAATTCTGCGTGAAAGACGCACACCGTAACCTTGACCATAATTGCGACAATGCGAAATTTTGGCATATATGTGCAGAAGACTTGTTTAATATAGCATGAGTAGTTTGTTAAGTTCTAAGTTGCTTTGGAGTTTCTTAGGCACATGAACGGAAAGAATATCTTCACCAGTCACGAAGTCCGAACCCCGTTGGCAGGATTTCTTCTGTCAGGTTTTGCCTCTCCATGGAGTGACCCTGAGCGGCGATTTTATTACAAAATGCTCAACAAATAAAATTAGAGGAATGACATCTGTGTTACTGCTCGAAACTGTTGTATTGTCCATAGGAGCGCGAAAAAATTATCCAATTTCACCACCACCTATGAGTAATTGCTCAAGAATTCCAATGTGACAGGAACACATTCTTAGATGGAAAAACGTATGACTATCCATCTCACCGTGTGCTACCATCTCACAGAAATTGTTTCTAGGTTTTTGTTTCACTCGGTTCCATCTTTGGACTTTTCCATAAATGAATCATAAGTATCTTTCGGAACTCTTCGATGTCTCCCTCACACAACAACCGTCAAGGGCTCCGCTAATTCTAAATGCCTCGCAACGAACTGCTCTCATAGAACTAACTGTGTCGAAGTCTGAATCTTCAGACAGTGGCAGGTTTTAGCGATGAACTGCCTGATTTCGCTCTGTTCCTCTAACAGTGTAGGAATATAACGTGCAGCAACGTTCGTAAAAACATCTACAGTCATCTAGATTTGACGGCTAGGAGTAAATCCAGAAATGCTACTCACCATGAACCCGCGCAGCGCTGTGACTACGTATGCCTTGCAATAAGCACATGCTCCTTAGTTCGATCGTGCGTACTCGACTAAGCAAACTCTCTATCCTTGCGCGCTCGGCATATTAGTATCAGGCTTGGACGGGAGAACAGTGACGTGATGCATCGATAGGCTGAAGCGTCATTTCATGAAGAAAAGATTCATTTATTCAAGTTTCCTACATTTCCTTATTTCAACCTCTTTACTTTCACACGATTAAGAATTGACCTTAGAGAACGTTATTGATAAAATTAAACTAAACAATGGCTTGGATCGATTCCAGCGCCCATGGCGCACAGAGTCCTCCATTCCTCCTGGGTCGGCAAATTATCACCAGACTTGTCTGTGAGGATGACAGTACTGGCCCGCTATATCGTTAGGTCACCGCGAGTTATTGTAAAGGCCACATATGCATTCAATCACTTCCAAACGAGCTTAATGAAGTCGAATGCATGGCACATCCCTCAGGGATTGATCAATGTCGAGAACTTTAGCTTTAAATGGTTTAGTTTTTGAATAACGACATAGAACAATTAGTCTCAATTTTCGTTCTATTAAGTTTATCTTTTTAACTTTTAACAATGAAGAGAAAAACAAGTGAAATTGACGGGAAGTACGGATTTGACCAATGCAGTGAATTCGTCAGCACTTTGAGCAATTAATGTCTAGATCGGAAATCTTCTCAAATAATGTCGCTTTTGTAATGTGGGAGAATGATTTGAAGCAGTAAATCTCTTTCCGAGGTCACATAAGCGCTGTGCATTCGTTGATAGCCGTTTAGCTTTTGGAATATTCCCATCTTTGTTTTAACCTTCTCTTCCTTTAATTAACTTTGTCTGTTTGAACCTGTTTCGAGCTTTTATCCTACTTATCAGTTAGAATGTTTTCTTTTTAGTTCTACGGGTGGCTTGCATAAACTGAGATTTGGCTACCGTTGAGTTTACATTATTCATGTGCAGCATGTCTCATTCTAATAATAACCCTTGGAACAGATTGTTATTGTCAGATTCAGAACACAACGCTGTGCCCTAAAATAAAAAAAGCTGAAGAAAAATTAGTCGGATTGAAGCACTCATGTAGAACTGAATTTCACAGCTATTATTTATTACGTTCCATTATTATACTTCTAACATATTAGTGCAATTTTTCAACCATCTGCCTAATTCGAAAAAGTAAACCAGTTTGAGAATTCCGCGAAAACAACAGCGACGACAACTGTTTCAGTCCACTTTTGTTGTGTTGCAGGGCATTCGGACGAATCCGTGGTTGTATGGCGGTGACAGTCTGCTGCGGAATTCTGCTTACCATCACACGGAATCGCTTCCACCTCAAGCGCAGTGTTTGGAAAGAAGATGTGCACCACCAACATTGTTGGGAGTGAAAAGTCTGGAGGAGAGCACTTGTAGTTCCGGATATGGTAGTCAGGATTGTAGGTGAGCTGCCAGGTTATTCAGCCGTTGCCGTCTGTCCATTGCTAATTATATGGGACGAACGTCGAGCGGCAAAAGCATATATATATATATATATATATATATATATATACACGGTATTGATTACCTAGCTTATAATAATGGGCAATTCCTAGAAAAATTATGGACTTCTTCTACGTAAGGCAGAATCATTTTCGTTCTTTAAATGGAGACGAAGATAGGCGCAGAAAGCTTCTTTTAGCTTCGAAACAATTTTTAGAAATGGTCATCTTCTACGGAACTGTTTGAAATTCTGATAAATACTTCGAAATGGCAAGGTTCCTATGGTCTTCTTTTCATTGAAAATGTGATTATCTTCAGGGCTTTCGTAATCCTGAGCCACAATGATGAGGACAAACTACGTTTAGCTTAGAGGGGAAGCCAATTACCACTAGATGGTAATGCAATAGGAAAGAGGCAGCGGCTTGCATCACCACACTCTAATGGACGCAAATTAAATAACGAGCAAGACATCGGTGTTGGAAGACGCACAAGCGACCTCAGGCAACTGAAAGTTTGGAAACTTCTAAAACAGTTCTAGATTCTTTTGGTAAACACGAAACATAGGAGTGATCTATCGTGCTCAGTGAGGCTACTTGTATCTCCAGAAAACAATTATATTCGGGTCACTTAAGTCAGGTTCGGTCATTTTAAAAATTTTGCAGGTCTTTTTAACAGCAACCACATCGTTAAAGGCTTTAAGGGCGAAAAAGATTACGTTCTCTCAGTTGGAAATTTCATCGTAACAACGAAGCAGCACTGAGTGTTGATACCGATGATAAGCTGTTCCCGAGATAAGACGATTTTCCAAGAGCTACTTATTCCTGAGCCTCGTATTAGTTTGAGCGGAAATCTGTCTAACATCGCGAAACCATATCAAACTGACGTATGTGTTTGGCTTTGATTGGCATCTGCAGAGTGTGGACGTTTTACTAAATATAATTCCATAACAACAAACGTTTGTGAGGGACGTCGCGAATTTATTGAACGCTTGCGGAAACTCTCTCGTAGAATGCTCGAGAATAAAATTTGTCCTCTCTTTTCATTGAATTTTGAGTAATGCGTTATCGTTGGTACTAAGCTTATCCAAAGTAACTGTTGTAAGCCACGAAGCTAAATGGCTTTTGAACTATGAGTAGAATAAGAGGTTTCCCACAAAACTGCCAAGAAAGCTATTTGTTAGAAAGCTAGCCAATGCTTTTAGCTCACAGTTCGGACAAACCAGTTAGTTTCACGCTTAAATTTATCCCCTTCAGATCATTTCATCGGTGTAACCAGTACTTAATGATACATTCCAGCTATATTCGCATATTCCTTCGGAACGTGAGGTTTTTCATAACGCTGAGACACATGAGCCTCGTCGTTGGCTATGGTGTTTGGGAATGGTAAAATCATTCTTTTAAGATTGAAATGGTTCTCACAAACATGCTCATGCTCATTGGGGATCTGGTGGCACGAAAGAGTCGATCCATCTTCTTCATCGGCGACCGCTAATCGGCTCATCTGGGCATGTGTTCATATAGCTACGAAACGTCTCGGGTAGTCCATATCCGCTCATATGTGTCAATCCGCCGTTCTGAATCGCATTATCGTGGTCGCACAATGCGCAGTCTCTCGAGTGCCAATTAAAGGGGTACTGCCAGCCCCCCCTGCTGATTGCGCAAGTGGTGTGCGACGGCATGCGCTCCCCACCAATCAGACCCTCAATGCCACTGTGATTGCCTGAAAGGTTTGGCCGATTCGATTTCGAAATAACGAGAGCACAGACATGAATAAGATCGTTTAGAGTCGCTAAGCGTTCCCGCTTTGAAGCATCTATAATAAGGAAAGAACTAAAATGGCAATGGGGAAACTATTTGCACGATAATGTCCTTAAATACAAAGTGAAGCAACAAACATTGTTATCAACATTCTGAACTTGAATAAGAGCTTTAACGAAGTTGTCCACTAACGTAGAACTGGTTGAATCTATTCTAAGTAGAAGAATGGTAGAATCGTTGACAACTCTGAGGACAAACTCTCTAGCAACTTTAACTTTACCATACTACTTTCAGTCCTGACTCCTCAATACACATGCCGTCATGGCAGACGACTGATTGTAGTAATGCGTTCATCGACGAGCCGTTCGATGAAGGCAGTTTACTGGAGGAAACGTCGTCCTTCTCCACTTACGACAATATTTGCGATGCCAGCGAGGAGCACATTTATCACGAACTTGAAGTACGTGAAGTTCACCATTCTATGAATATCTTTCAATCCCGACTTAAAGGATTCATAACACCCACTTAGTAATTTAAGAAAGAACTCTATAAATAGCTTTTTCTACTTCTGTTCAGCAAACACGAAGTGTTATTTTATTTCTTTATTTACGTAAAAGCTGACGTTTCCGCGGATTTCGCCATCCTCAGAGCCTGGAAAGTGAAATTGCTTCTATAAATAGCTTTTGGAACCTCCTGTTTTCATGTGTTATGCATTCCACGTCACCATCGATCTACCGTTTTTTGGAGTGATGGTTCAAGGAAATGAATGGAGAAGCAAGAATTATTCCTCAACCAAATCCCGTTTGCAAATGAAGTTGACCCATATGGTCTACGAACACCTAAGCCCATGATGTTACTGGTATTCTTTGACACTGCTTTGTTCCTCTAGGCACCCGCTTCATTGCTTCCATCGATCTTCATCGTTTTGCTCCATTAGGGATTCAGCATAATTGGTTTACTTGATCTCACGGCCAAAAAGAGAAGGAGGCAGTGTTTCTGATTGTTGTTTATGTCGTATGCGAGTTCATATGTTGTTTATTAGGTTAAACTATAATACTTCACAATCGAAGTAGTTGTGTTAAACCTCATAGACGACTCACGAGATGTGGCTCAGTATGAATTTACTGAACATTTTGTGAAGCAAGTTCGATAAGCAGTTAAAGCTATAGGTCCTCATCAGGTATCTCTTTTTGGGAAAAACTGGCAGAGCATGAGATGCTTCCCAGGTCAGGCATTTATTCTCTTGCCACAATGTCACCTACGTCGGAATCAGTGTAAAAAGTGTGCTTGTTCGAATAAATTTGGCCCACATACCCTAAACGGGGGTGTTAGAGGTATCTTGTAGGACGCACTAAATCGTTCGTTCTATTTCATTCTCCAGGTAAACCAAGTCTACAATCCTTGGTTGACGTAATAGCACTAGATTTCTCGCAGGAATAGGTAGTAAATAGAAGTTAAGACTAGGTTCAGATCTGTGACCCTTTGCGAACCTCTACATCCCTAAGAGATTGTTCAGGACCAGAAGCTTCCTTCTTAATCCTTTATTTGGAACTACTCCTGCCTCCACTTGTTAACTTATGATGTTAGCTTGAAGAGTTATTAGCCAAAGATATACGCATGAGATCGGAAATGATTCACATTCACTTTTCTTATAATAGATTCAATATTTTATGAGGACATCTTTATCTGTCAAATAGGACTTTCCGTTCAGCATTAAGGTGAGGCTTCGTCATTCTTTTCTTTTACTGGTACCAGGATTTCTTTGTGGCTGTAGATTCTCCATCACATGACACTGAGAATTATTCTTCAGTTGGAAGATATACGACGTATTAGGATCTATCCGTATGCTGTCCACTTCAAAACCAGTTTTTTTCTTCGTTCTCAAAAAGTCGTTCGTAATTCACCTGACAGGAACAACACTGTTCTTCGCAAATCATTCAACAGACATTCTTAGCCATTTGTTGCATCTCCGTTTCTCGTAGTGGGTAAAAGATCTTAATCTCGGAACTTATCAAGTTTCTAGTCACATTCCGTCGATTATGCTGATACAAGCACCCCATCGTTCGTTTATTGAACGTTCCTCTCTTTATGCTTTCCTACCGAGTCATTTAATTGTAGTAATTCCACGACCGATTTTCTATTAACCTCGGCATTGACCAGATAGTCCTCGATGTTCTTGTTAAGCAAACACGAGATGTTGCTTTATTCTTTATTTCGTTAAATCTGACGTTTCGGTGGATTTCGCCTTCCTCAGGGCATGGAAGGACATATTGATAGGCAATTTACTAAGTCAAACGCTTCAATAACACAGGCAGAAAGATGAGAGTCTAAATGACTATCACACGATCAACAGCTCGAGAAACCCATCGCTTTTTACGTGACTTCCGCTGAGGAACAACTTCTGATCAGAGCCACAAATAGTCGATGAATGCACCACTCTACAACAAAAATCGATGAGAAGGAACGGGACCAGATCACGTGAGATCTCCGGGCATTCCTCCCTGCTATTCATTCTAGGGTTCCTCGTATTTATCCAAAAACCTCAAGAAGTTGGAGCGTTGATGTTCTGCCATCCTGTGCGAGGTTAGTGACTTTTATATCAAAATCATCCCCGCTATGTTTTTGTATTCCATGCATTCCTAGTGAGGTGCTTAGTCTTGCCTTTCGTTTACCATCTAGGTGTTCTTTTATGCGAATACATAACGGTCTCCCCGTTTCGCCACTATATTCATCTCCGCGAGTAAAGAGATTAGTTATATCTTAGCTGAACTTATGCAATCACCATACCTCCCATAAAGGCAAATTATGCAACTTTGTGTTTCGCAAAGACAGTCAAATACGCGGTCACGAACTACCTGACGACGAAGGGTGTAGGGTTGTAGTTAAACTATCGCTACCGATTTCTGTAGACTTGCCCTTCTTAACCATCGTTTTATGATTGACGATACGATTTTAGGATGATTTAATTTTATCTGAAAACGCAACTGATACTGATAAGAAGCTATCGGTAAGAATGGGGCGCGTGTCACTCAGTGGTGAAAGCTGCCCTGTACGCGATGGATCGATCGCTTGTTCGACCCTATTCCCCGACCTCACCAGGCCTTCCATGCTTCCAGGATAAAAAGATAGAAAAGCTCTCGGCGTTGATCAATCCCTGAGGGACGCGCCATGCATTCGGCTTCATTAAGCATCGTTTGAAGGTGATTGAATGCATATCTGGCCTTTACAATGACTCGCGGTGGCCTACCGATGTATCGAGCCACTGCTGCTATACTCCCAGACAAGTCTAGCACCAATTTTCCAGCCTCGGAGAGATGGAAGGTTTAGTGGGCCATGGGCGGGGATCGATTCCACGTGTGTACTGCGGGGAGCCTGCGACCACTTTAGCTGAGAGAACAGCAGGACTGACTTGATCTATCTATAGGCACCCGCAAGCGCTCGTACAAACACGTATGCATTTAATCATCTTTACAATGCTTGATGAAGACCAATGCATGGTGCATTTCTTAGGGGATTATCAATGCAGTGAGGTTTACTCTCTATCCTTAAATCGACAACTGCGGAAATGCACTACATCTCGGTACTCATCAAGTTGTTCAGTATTAGAGACAGTCGCCGAGAGAAGGGTAAACCAAGGTCCTCGGCCGGTGTAGTGGGTAGCACGTGAGCTCCGTTATAATGGTAATCGCGCGTTCGAAACCCATCTGAGATTCTACGTCTTGTTCATGTGTCAGCATCGTGGCTATATTTCCCATCATGCCTCTCCATAAAAAAATTAGGAAGCAAAAAAGTAAGAACATTAGAGAGAGTAGCAGATATCCAAGCTGTGGAGTATCAAGGCTGATGCTTCCTTTGCCGGTTGACAAGAGAACTCTTTCTGATTATGAGAACCGTTGGCTGTTTTGTGAGCCTTCAACTATTCGCGAGAATTTTGCAATCATTGCGGCGTAGTAGGTTAGAGAAACCATGTTTCTAACTAGCCGTAGTGATTAGTCATTACACCTATCATACAAGCATTCATCGAACCAACTAATTGAAGCGGGTATCACTGAGGCAGCAATTCGAAATAAATAGCATCAGAGTCGTAGTATAATTTATACCATTTCAGTCATGCTTCCGAGTTGCCGAAGAGAGTTGCAGTTCCACTCCTCTTTCAAGCTTGGGAGATTCTCGATCGGACTCACCTCTTTGTGGCAGACATGGATCACCTATCTACGCCCAGCCGTGGACACATTACCATGTGGAGCGCGAGCATTACCGTTCGAATATGTCGGTTCTGGCAAAACGCAGTCCCAGTACTAAAGCATTAACCGTTCGAAACCAGTCATTCCGTCGAGTTCTGCCTGAAATCCGATACAACGAGTACGCTAGACCGTTCCATGGGAGGCCGCTGATGAACTGCCTAGGAAGGACAAATTCGTTCGCTTATCCTGAGCCATCTTCCTCATGGGTGCACAGAACAGAGAATTATCGTCAAATGAACGAAAACAACCGTTTGGTGGAGAATCACGCGATGGAGGATGCAGAAGAAGAATTTCTTTCTGAACTAGACGCGCAGATCGCCGAGTTACAGGTAGGAGAGAATGTATATTTTAATATGAGTTAAATACGTCATGTTAAAAAAGACAGCAAGCTGTCCAACTAAACAAAATGGGAAAGATGTGAATCTCTTATGAGAATTCGGTTCCTATCCTTTCGCCCGTTCTCTTTTTCTCCATGGAGAGTTCTTTACGGAGCTTCAAAAAAACTGGATTATGATTTGAAGGGCGGTCAATTTTTTGCGACTATCATATGACGAGATTAGAAACCCTCTGCGTTCGGATATATGATGAAACGGGCAATTGGGTGCGATTGCTCAGCGGCCTCTGGGGACCTATATGAAATACTATATTCGCTGAGCGAAACTTTCACTAGTTGCCAATCTATCTCTTCACTTTTGAAACCTTGCCAGCGAGAATCAGGCCAACAGACAATGAAAGCTCTGTCAAAAAGTGAAGCATGAAGAACAAAGATTATTCGTAAGCAATTTAATGTTATTTAAAGCTGCGGTCGGATGAACTTCGCTCAATAGTCGAGAGAGCTTGTCAACGACGGCACGCAACTAGCTGGCTGCGTCCGTCGATGGAGTGCACGTTCGAGTTGTCCATCTGATCACACTATCACCAAGAAATAGAGACACAACCATTGTTTCCATTACACCCATTCTCTCTCTCTCTCTCTCTCTCTCTTTCTCTCTCTCTCTCATACTTCCTCATTTATTTACAATGCTAATTCGTACCGGTCATGCCTCTAGTTAGTGAGCAGGTCAGGCAAAATCCTGACATTTTATGATCTTTTCATGTTGTTCACCCAGAATATCGTCGTCAATGACGTTTCGAACAAGCTACGTGAATTCTTCATGATTATTTTTTTGGCTTTGTTTATTAAGAAGCTGTACCGTGCGCTGTCTTTGGGTTAGGAATGAGTGATTATTCTCATTTTGCTTCCTTAGACCTCAACATGCTATCTGGAAGCTTCTGGATTCTGTGAATCAGTGTGGAACGAGTTGTTGTGATGATCAGATTTCAGGAAAATTTTGTTTAAATCTATTACTCTAGTCTCTCACATAGACCGCTGTTATCTTTTTACATGGTTCAGGACAGCCAAGCCACTATGGCCGAAAGTTCCCACGTATATCGGTTGACAGTCTGTTTAGAGCTGTTTCTCCTTCTTCTTCCACTTCTAGCCTATTTTCTAGGCCCTGTGACATGCTCTAAGTCCGTGTGATCTCTACTCGAAGAACTTCTTCCAATGATATAATCCTTTGCATCACTAGAATTGGTTGGTCGAAAACTGTAATAAACCTTGCACATTCTACGCCGAAGTGTTTTGCTTGACAATCTGCCAATAGCTCTCAACGTATCGTTGCTCTAATGAGCATTGTATAAGATGATGTTTTGGTCATTGCACCCAAATAGGGTCATGTCTTAACGAGACCGGGCAGTGGGAACCAATCACCCACACCACTCTATTAACTGGGGAAATCCCAGTCAAGTGCTGGCTTCGTTCAAAGGGCGATTGTTAATGAAGTGGTCGGATTTTGTCAACCAACATTACCAGTGGAAAAAGGAGAAGCTCATGAGTTAGACACGAAATTCGTGAAATTCCATTTCATAGCTTGTCAAACTTTTTTAGAATAAACCGAAATGTGGATGCAAAAACTATCTTAGCTATTGATGCAAGAAGTTCTGGCAGAATGTTCGACAGTGTGATGAGATGAAGCTAGTGGGAATACGTGAAAGAAAATTCTCCATCCCGCTGCTTCACTCACCACAGTACTTGTTCGGGATAGTGAAGCCATGATTTCATCGGTTTGGGTTCTCAACGAAACTATTATATTGAAAGGGTACACATTGATACCAACGCATTGTCTCCGTTCTGTACCCCTACGTATGCTTTCGTATTAACACGTAAAGTCAATATCAACATTAATCAGATTTTGCAGCTTGGTGAATATCGTCATGAAACACAAATGTGTCTGTGGATTGAGATTGTTCATCGCCTTAAACTTCATACATTAAAAGAGGTTTCTAGTCCGATTTTCTACAGTTTGATCAAAGCTAAGACAATTGATAGCTAAACGAAAACGAGTTTCTCTGGAGCCTAATTAGGCGAAAATGTTGAAAATCAGCTTCACCAGACTAGTGTAGCATGTTCTGTGCAATATGTAAGCGAGCAGCGAACAGTTGGTGCAGACAGCAGACAGCAGGTGAGCAGACAAAGAATTTTTCCAAAATTAGCATTCACTTTGGCCAGACTGTGTGTTAGAGGTGATCGCAAGGATCCAGCCATGACTCATTAGAATAGTTAAAGCGTACTCTACCGGAGTGATGGAAAAAGCACCACGGTTATCGGAAACGAACGTGCTACTAGCACGGTAGAATAGATAAGGTTAGGCAAAATGGACAGTTGAGAGAATGAGCAGTTGAAAAAATTGGTGAATATCGCTGTGGAAATAATTATTAGTTGTCTTGATTTCTACCAGTGATACTGATACGAAGCAGTAACTCGAGCTCATCTGACATTCGTTAATTTAATATTGGCATCGCTTTGATGCAATCTTCATCGCACTCGGTCTCTAAGATCATCATTTTTAACAAAGCTAAGAGAGAAATTATCATACCTGGCTACTTGGATAGTTTGATCCCCCGACTTCACTGATTGTGCGGGCACCAGCGCAATTTCCATCCTCCGGAGATTTCCTGGTTTAGCCATCGTGATTCCCTGGAATTCCGAGAACAGTCTGGCCTAAGGCTGACCCTGATCGTCACCTCTACAGGTAGTCGCCGCCCTTGTGGATCAGAGGGAGATTTGCCACCATGAGATTAATTCGATAGCAGAACGGTGCTGGATCTTTGTATTGGTTTACTCATAGCTGGGCTTTCTGATGTAAACGTTAGACTGCTTCTCAGCTTAATCTTTCCGGGGAGATGAATTCCCTCGATGTACATCGCAGTCCAACACCCAGAAACACCTCTCAGCGCGGTAAGCCGTTGGGAAGGAAATGATCATAGCGAATGGTTTCGGAATTATTGTGTGTTGTTACCGAAAGAAAACTCTATAGCAGCAATACATCTATTTGATTTAAATTCTGTATGTATTGAAATATGCATGTTTGGTGATGACTTCTCCACAACGTCAGATGGATCGCGCTCATATTCGTCATAACGAATGACCAGGCTGTTCAGCAGAGCCAGAGGAACAGGTCACGTAACGAAGACACAAAAATCAAACATTGTTAGTGCTATAAATTACCCAAAGTTGATTATGAAACATCGATTCAATTCAGTTAAATAAGTAAATTTCCGCGATTTAGTGGAGAACGGATTAGTGATACTTGGGGATGTTAAAAATCTTTCGTCAATTTTCGGCAGTCGTCAACCATATGCGACTATAATCAGCTGTTCTAAACTTCCTCATTGGAGGTCACGTAAAAAGCGGAGGCTCTGAAGAAGGCGATACTGCCGAAACGTCAGCTAGCGTTGTATTGTATTGTGTTTCTCTATGGAAGTAAATGTATGCTGTTTAAAAACCTCGCGATTGCTGAACAAGAAAACGACGCATTCATATTCCAATGCCGAGGTTAATAGAAAGTCGATCCTGGGAACTATTAGAAATCTTAATTGTGGGAAACGTTTCAGCGTTTTTGCCTTCTGATTCGTTCACGGTGATTCGTTTTTGAGTGTCGACACCAGCTGATTCTCTTTGGTTCTGATAAAGACTAAACCACTGGAACGTTAGCTACAACAAAGATTTGTAACAATTTCCTGCAATCTTATCAGTAGTAGTCCGGAGTATAGGTTATTGATGCCTGATTTCAATCAAAGTTGGACTAAAAGTTATATGGAAACTATTTCGTCGGAGCTGATTGTGTCGGAATCTCCAGGAGTATCGAGGCGTTCGGATATCACAATGCCGGTCGGGGTCTTGGCGTCAATTCGAAGCGCATCTGGATCTAGCTCCTCCATCTCCCTTAATGTCTTCAAGTGCGGTTGTACACATTCCCACACCTAAAAGTCTCATATTAACTAACGACCCTAGACGATTTTTTACTTCATACGTTTTCTTCGCTTCGCAGCAAACCTTGAATTTTATAAAAGTTAAAATTAGTCATATTTATTGACCGTCTCCCTGTTGTGCTTTATGTTTGGGCTGATGGACATAAACGAATTGGGTAGTCATCCATTCATATGAAAACTCTCGGTTTTCGCAGGTTTGCACAAAAATTTTAAGTGATGCTATAGGGTAATTTAAAAGTGCAGAGCACAATTCACGGCCTTTCAGTTCTTATCTGTTAATTTGAGGAGATGAATGCGTAGTTTATCATTTAGAGAAGACTCTTTCAATTATTCACCATTATTACAAACATCTTTTGCAGTTGTTTCGACTTGTCAATGGCACTCATTGGACGTCGATGTTTAGAAAAGGCTATAATAACGCCCGTGAGCTCTCATCAACGTCAAATTAGACTGGTTGTGGCCTTTGCTTATGCAAATCTGCTTGGACCACTTATCCGTGTCCCACTGATGTTTAGACAACTGAGACTGTCTGACTGATGCCAAAGAAAGGTAAAGCGACGCCAGAGAGAACTCTCAAACGACTGCTGATCCATTAAAAGTTATGAATACAGAGATTTCGATAATTTCTCGTTAAATCGCGAAAATGATTCTGCCATCTGAAGACGCCGTTGGCAAGCTATCATGGATTTCAAGAGAAAGTCACGCTAACAAATCGCTGAAGAAGTAAATGGTCAAAATTGTAAGTGAACTATTAGTATACAAAGTTTGGAACTATGCTGGACAATATGGAACCTTTAAACTGGCCTTATTATCTCTGAGTAGTTGAATGATGGTTTGGATGTCTGGATGCATGTAGCGGTCTTCAATTAATGGTCTGCAATTGAAAAACGAATCAATGTCACCAATTTTAGCTACCACTCCTAGTTGCAAAGGGAATTGCTTGCAGCAGAACTTACGCGCTGACACTTCGAACTAGTTGGTAGACCTTGTTAAGCGGTGCCGTCGAAACCAACGGTTTGAGGAATTCGGCGGCTTGACAAGCGGCCAGCAATTCCATGGCTAGTACTGTATTTGAAGGAAATTACTCGAGGTTCAGTTCACGGTCTAAGTAATGTAGTGAGAGCACAGGTGAATTCGACTTCCAATTATGGTTTTCCTACATCGACTACCACGAAAAAGTTTCTTAAGAACCTGGCAGGCTTCAAGAGTATATTGGATAAAATAGATCGGGTAAATCTAGATAATATGGCGGATAGCTTCGAAGCAATTAAATCCTCATTTAAGGAAAAATCCGGTATGTCTGATATGAAAAGATTTGCAAAAGCAAGCCTCATGTTTGCAAAATTTCCGCCGACAATAGTCAAATTTTCTTACTTCTGTAAGAAAATCAGTTAGATAATAGGGAATGCCAAATTGAAGTAAAAATCGGGAACTGGCAAACGGCTAAGTAGAAATGTTGCAAAACCTGTTGTTTAACGATTACCGAGACTTCGCCGATTTGATTATGGAAAAGTTGTGTAATACTGGGACTAACTTCATAGCTGAACCTAGAATTCCTATCCATTAAATAACACAGAAAAACTTGGCAGTGGTTTAAACAATTCGGATTTCCCTACATCCAGATATTTTGGTCGATAAGACCTAAACATTCTCGCGTTAGACTGTTCGGGGAAAGTCTGATGCACTGACCAGCCTCGACGTGCTCGACGACCGTCAGCGCTTTGCGTGCACTGAAGCCTCCCATGCTGACATGATCCTCCTGGTTGCAGCTTGTCGGAATGCTGTCCACCGACGACGGATGACAAAGAACTTTGTTCTCAGACACTGTAAAACTAACACGTACGTTTATAGCTCTGGTGGATAATGAAACTTAGCTTGATAAGCTCACACTAAGGTAAATCTTTAAAAAGCATGATTTTGCGCGAAAGCTTATTTTGCCTACTAAAAGTTGTTGACTGCGGTATTAGTGTCATAAAAGAGTTTCTTTCAGATTAGTATTAACTTAAGCGCAAACAACTTTTTTGGTGGGCCAAGCTGCATGTTGGTACGACGATTTGGGGTCCATAGAACCTAAATTTATTGCGATCTAGTTAAAGACAAATGACCTTCCTTCCTCAATTCCAGATCAATTTTTTTCTGCTGTCATCATAAGTTTCATGGATAACTTTCCAGAAAGGGAAACATTCGCTGGACTTCATTGTTGTTCAACCAACAAAACAAGCGTCTTCAAATAAAGGAAGCATTGAGTAAATAGATAGCAGAACCAGCATCGCGAGAATTGAAATAAAAGAGAAATGGAGGAAATAATCGCGCTTATGGAGCATTGTCTCGAGGAGTATAATTGGTATTTTGTGGAGGTTTCGGAGACGCAGTGGTCGGAGGCGCCATGCAACAAACACGTGGAATCCATCTCCACGTCCACGGCCCACCAAGCCTTCCATCCCTCTGGCGTCGGAAAATTGCTACCAGACTTGTCTGTGAGGATAACAGCACTGGGTCGATACATCGGTAGGCCACCGCGAGTTATTGCAAAGGCCAAATATGCATCTAATCACCTCCAAACGATGCTTAGTGATGTCGAATGCATGGCGCATACCTCAAGGATTGATCAAAGCCGAGAGCTTTATCTTCATCGTTTTTTATAGAGCCATTTAGCCAACCATATCACCAATAGTCATCGTGACATACTCGCAGCAAAGTGCATTATACTTATGTGTGTATGTATACAATTCTACGGAGCATTTTATCGCATTTCTTGTGTTCCACTGTTAGATTGTTCAAGACAGACTGCTTAATAGTTTGTAATAGACCATTTTTAGACGAGTTTACTGCATTTACTAGACAAGTTCGAATCTGTTAAAAAAGAGTGACAACTCAATGGGGTACTAGTAAATTAGCCATTAGTCCAGGCTACGTGAAAGGTATGACGCACATAATTTTAACTATTGTTGATGAAACCGCGGCCACAACTGCTCAGAGCGTGGGCTTTGTCTTGTAATCTACTTACTCTTAACTTGGTTTGGGGATGTCGGACTACTTAGATTGAGTGAATTTCATGCGATGATCAACAGTCCGTCATGGATTTCAATTCCTCACCCAAGAACATTAATCAGCCACAGTGCGGTGGGAAGTCACTGAGAAAGATGATAGAAAAAGAAAGTAAATCATTTGGAAAACTACGTCATATTTTGGCGCAAAAAACAGTTTTTAGAGAAGAACTCGTTTCACGTGTTCATTGCTGTTAATTGGGTTGCTTGCGCTCCGTATCACTTTCATTCCGGTCGCTAGTTTGATTGAGGTAACCCAGATATGAGGCACAGGTGGGATTGGTGGAAATGAGACGAACTGACCGAGACTAGCCGCGCAGAGTTGTACGGTCATCAGGCCTGAGTTTAGTCCACCGTTTGGAGTGAGGAATGTTGGAAGACCGCTTAGCTGGTTGTTCACTAACCGTTCGAGGCGGCGCTCACTCATCTGAGCCAATTCGTGTACGGCGATCGCCAAATAGTCGAGTGCCTAAATCACTTACTGTAATGTGGGGAATTCGACGACAACGTCACATTGTTGATTCATCATGATGCCGAAGGCAGGTTCAACTTCGATTCGATATGTTCAGCTGAGGCGAAGTTAAGTACCCATTTATCGCTCTCAGGTAGAGAGTAACATTACTTTTTAGGTGTACCCTAGGGCTGCGCAGCTACTAATGATTCTTCAAAAATAATCTTCTATCTCATCTGCACGTACAGTCTCAATTTCAACGTGCTTTTACGCTGCACTTGGATTGATCACATTTCTACTTGTTTATTACCTGATACTTCCAGCTTTTTTGCACTTTTGTATTGATTAGGCAGCAAAGGTGCACGTATAGCGCAGTGGTGAGGCGCGTGTAGCAGAGTCGTCGGAGGCGCCCTGAAATACAGATGGGATCGATCTCTATGCTCCAGGCTCACCAAACCCTCCACCCCAGAGGGTCGGATAACTGGTGCCAGAGTTGGCTGGAAGGATAGCAGCACTGACTCAATGCATCGGTGCTAAATGAAGTCGAGTTCATGCGCATCCTTCAGGGATTGATCAGCGCCAAGAGCTTTATCATTCTTTATTTAGACAAACACAAGGCTGTCATCATTTCGAGCCATGTTCCACTCCGACTGATTCGACTCGATGTGACTTTGAAAACCCACATCACAGGAATGAAAGGCTGTGGAAAATTGCCCTGAACATTGCGACTCTGTAAAGTGGAAACGTAGCGGCTAGCTGCAGTAAGGGTTTCACAACAATCTAGCGTTAGCTTAAAGATAAGGAAAAGAGTCTTGGCGTCGACCAATCCCTGAGAGATGCGTCATGCATTAGAAATTCATTAAACCTATACTCGCAGTGTCCCATCGATGCATCGACCCCGTGCAGCTAACCTCCTAGATAGGTCTCGTAAGAAATTGCAGACTCCAGAGTGATGGAATGTTTGGTGAGTCTGGGAAACGGGACCGAACCTATGTGTATTGAAGGACGCCTCTAACCACTGGGCTGCACGCGTACCAATCCTGTTATCGCATTAGCATATGAATTAAAAAATGCACCAATTATTCATCCCAAAGTTAATTGACAAATAGTTTGCAAATTTTTCTTTTCTTCTTCTTTCTCTAATTAGTGTCTCTACAAAGCGCTTGCGAATCTGTGCATCAAAGCACCAATTTTTAAACTGAGCAAGAGCTAAGCCATATCCACTTCCTCCAATGCGTTTCACTTATTTCTATACTTACTTACTTGATACTTGAACGGCCCGTCTTCACTAGTTGTGTGGGTCTCAGCATAATCACCATTTTTTGGAGGTTTGCTGGTTAAGTCATTGTGGTTCCCTGGAATCCTGAGGTCAGCCTGGCCAAAGTCTGCCCCGGGTTGTCACCACGACAGGCAGTCGCATCCCTTGTGGATTAGAGGGAGATTTGCCACAATGCGACTCTGATACCAGAACGGTGGTGGATCCCAGTATTGGTATTGGTTTACTTTTAGCTAGGCTTCCTGATGGAAACGACGGGCTCCTTCTCAGCTTGGGAAACCCTGCCTGGGGAACGAATCCTCCCTCTGTACATTGCAGTCCGGCACCCAGGAACACCTTCCAGCCACGATGAGGCGGTAAACCGTTGGGAGACTTATTTCTATAACAAAAACCAATTTGCTTCGTTCTCACCTTGGCCGGATACTCGCCATGAAAATTACCACCAGAAATTATCTCTTCTCTGTCTGCAAATATGAGTGGATTGTCAGTGGCGGAATTCATTTCTGTAGTGATAATTCGGCGAACGAACTCGATCGTGTCATGGACGATGCCGTGCACCTACAAGATGGTGAAGATCAGCAACATGAAAGAAGAATGAATAGCGAAATAGAGAGAGTGGTTCGATTCACTGCTTGGAAGATAAATAGTTAATGTAAAGAGAGTTTGGCTATTCTGCATTTAAGTTGTACCGCAGCAAGAGAACTCATCTAAGCGCTTACAATTCCAGTTCAGGGACAAAAAATGGTTGTCTTGATAAAGGTACTGATAAAAGATAAGAGTACTTATGGTGGCAGCATCGAATGTCAGACGGTCATAGTACATCGATCTGAAGTCCTTCTGGTATTTCTATAACTTTTTATGCTCATAAATAATCCATATCTACTGTCGTTTAATCAATCTAAAACATATTTTTCTCCCAACATAACCAACCACTTCATTGTCTTAACGATGTACTCTACCGAGTAGAGGCGAAATACAGTTTACTGGTCTTCGAGACGTTTATCTAAAGTCTCCCTAGTCATAACGTACAGCTTTCAACGTTGACAAAGTGGTTCGCAAGATTTTAGCGACCTCATAAGGGCGAACGACAAAGCTTACGAAAGTTCATGTTGCACTAACGAGAGGTTGGTATCAGTCGTTGTTGTTTTTGATGATGATGCTGTTGTTGTCCCTATTATGATGGATAGATGGCTGATGTTCAGGCGAGTTCGCTATCTTCAGAACCATCTTATAATGGGTGAGCCCACCTGTATGTTGTTCTAGTGTGATGACATACATAAATAACCCATATCTCTCTAATCCATACCTATTAAAATATAAAACGCGGATCGATCCCTAATGGATCCGATATGCATTCGACATCGTAGAGATGACTAAATACATATGTGGCCTATACAATGACTTGGTCCGCCAATGTAATAAGAGGGTGATTTTACAATTTAAGAAAAGCTTGATTCCAAGGCGCCAATCCCAGGGAAATGGGAGGATTGGTGAGCCCGAAACGCAGGAACGAACTAGAAACAGTTCCAGTGTGTAGAGCATGGTACCTCTAAACACCGCGAAACATGTCGCGGCCACGTGACAACAAAGTGAATATAGTCCAGGTAAGTGAAGAGATCTGGCGATTCACCAAGTCCATGCGTAGACTTTTCGGTTATTGACGATCCATCTATCACTACTTGTTTTTCTTCACATCCATCATTTCCGTAGACAATAACTTACGGCTTATGTTATATCTCTTCCACTTTTGTGATTGCTTATTCTCTAGATCTGGTCGATATTTTAGATACACAATCAGAGGACGAGTTGTGCACTCATCGCATCTTCCCATGAGAACTACAATATTAGCCACTGTTACATAGACGTAAACATCGTTGCTGAAAGAGTTTCTTGTTGGTCCCCTTCACCCTGCTTATCTTATCACTTATGAACGGTTGACGAAAATACTTTCAAGTGGTTGTATATCGGCAATTTTGCTGGAACTGGAAGTACAGTGCGGTAAATGAAACATGTCTCTCATTACAATGAAGGATCGGCAGACTTGCAGAGGACCATCATGACTTTTCTGATGTCCTGGATGCAATCCATAGAATTTTTCCAAAGCGAATTCTTTTCAAAATTTAACGTTACTGGAAAACGAACGCTAATGAAACAAAACCGGACAGTATTAGAATTCAGCTCAACTTTCCGTTCTTACACAGGCCATTCAATAGACTGATTTCTCTTGTAGGTACAAACTTTTGGACGTTCAAAACACTTGAAATAGTACCCATTCACGCAGCCTCTATTGAGGACATTCCGAACTTGAACTTTACACCGACGTTCGTCAAATTTTTCGCCGAATTCTACTTATTAATGGGTTCTTGTTTTGAGACGCTCACGTGCCACAGTGGATGGTCTTTAATAAGATAGGAGGCTTACGAAACTAGTCACTAAATTTCTTCCTTAATGGTCAATAATTTAGTCTATAAATCAGGTCTCCGCTTTATGAAAAGAGAGAGTAAAGGAGAAAAAGAGTGGGAGGGAGAGTGAAAGAAAAAACATGTTACTGTTGATGAATTTTTACCTGTGGAACACATCGTAGTGTATATGCGTCTTGCACTTTGTTGCAGTTTCGATGCGACTCTAAAAACACAAGGATTTCATCTTTTGTGAAATTACATGCTTCTTTGCACGTATGTTGTATCTTTATATGTGGTTTCTATGTACTTACTTCCAAAGGTTTACCGCATCGTGGCTGAGAGATGTTCCTGGGTACAGCGGTGTGATTCGTCCCTCCGGCTGGATCTCCCAAGCTGAGGATGAGTCTGGCGTTTCCATGAGGAAGCCTAACTAGGAATAAACCGATACCAGAATCCGCCGCTGTCCTAGTGTCAGATTAGTCGCATGGTGGTAAATCTCCCTCCTACCCACAAGAGCTGCAACTATATGTGGTTGTGACGACCTGAGGCAGACTTGGCCAGGTTGACCTCGGGACTGGAGGGAATCACAATGGTTAAACCACCAAATCTCCGAAAAAATAGAGATTATGCTGGAACCCGCACAACCAATGAGGATGAACTATTCAAGTATTCAAATATTCTAGCATTCAAGTTTTACATACTTATTAGCCATGCCGAGGTTAAAGAAAGTCGGTTTTCAAAATATATCATTGCATTTTATCACTAACTGGATTTCGTAGTCACATTTTATTCACAACGAAGTAATCCGGTTTTTATTTATGGAACACTCAGAGTTTTTGTGACTCAAGCCCATAATAGAATCGTGAGTGGTTTTGAGTGCACGGAACACCTTACAAACGTTACGACCCACCTGCAATTTGGGATGGATTAGCGTCGGAATGAAGTAGAGAACGCAGACGACGTGCGGAGATGTCTTGACCCTTATGAGGACGTAGTCGATGAATATCTGAAGAATTTTCGACGCGATTCGTTATAACTACAGGTCGATCGATAGTAATGAAGTTGTACCTGGATCAAAAGCTCTAGTGGTCCCTTTGAGAATGTCCAGCGACAATGCAGCTATCACATCCGCCTGCCGTGCAATGTTATATGCTCGCTCCAGTGCTAAATTTCCTCAAAAATGTGGGCTTATGGTGAAGTAAGAGTGATGTTTGTTACCGTATGCTCCAATGGCAGTGACCATCTGAGTGCCATTAATCAACGCTAGTCCTTCCTTTGGACCGAGTTCTAGTGGTTTGAGATTGTTCTTCTTAAGAACCACGTCAGCATCGTCCCATCTACAAGGCAGTGTTTTGTGTCCATAACAATATTCCGTTTTGTCAAATTACCCCGTGATTGGACTCCACATCTTTCCTTCTCCCAGTAGTCCAAGTGCGAGATGGGCCAGGGGTGTCAGGTCGCCACTGCATCCTACCGTGCCTTGTTGTGGGACGTATGAAACGCAAAATGCTAAAAACCACTTAACAACAAGCTTTTAGATGGATTTATTATTTTTTGGGTAGTGAGCACTTCTAACGGAGCAATAAAATGTGTTTAATATCTATTTACCATTAAACGCAGCCACCATCTTTTTGACATTCTCCAAAGAAACTCCACTATATCCTTTGGCAAGAACATTAATTCTGAAGAGCAGTGTAGTTATTTAGAAAACTTGTTCTTGATGTCATACGACTACGTACCTTAATGCAAGCAACATTCTGACTTTCGATGGGTGAAGTGGTTGGCCGTAACCGGTCGCGTGGGAACGAACTAGGTTCAGCTGTAGCTTCCTTAACAACTTTACTAAACTCGGAATTGACTGTGAGCAAACCAACTAACTGCTGTTTTTACTGGATTCTTTAACTCTTAGACGCTCTTCTTATGGTATACAGTGATACTTAGTAACGGTCACGCTACTTAAAGTTGGGAAGAAAATCCTGTCAACAGTAGTCCAATACTAGAAAAAGAATCTACGAGCATTATGACTTTTAAAGTTTAGGACTGCAAATGCATTACCAGTCGAGCTATGCAGGTCCAAACGATCATAAAATTACATGCTCTTAAACGGTCACGTCGTAATCAAAGGTTCTCTTTCTACTTCTTGATATATAACCCATTGCACAAAAATCGATTGCTATTTTGGCAACTTTATTAAATAACTTTATCATATTGCATTGTTTTTCAATGCAGATTAACAATTTCCAAGTCTCGACCTCATTTAGCATATGCATTGACAGCAATTCATTTTACGCAGAAATAATGACTACTTCCAAATTTCGACCAACATGTTTCAATTCATAATCGATCTTATTCATTAAAATAAAAAGAATTCTAATTTACACGTATTTTCCTGCAAGGAAAATTTTGTATTTAGATGAGATTTTGATGTCTTCACTACCCCACGAGACGTTTTCTCTTCACTTTTTTTGTCTCTGAGGACCGGATTTCAACAGTGATGTTTCTCGAAAAAGCTTCTTGTAGCGTTATATGGTGAATACCACGCTTGTCCGCATAATTGATTTTGAAGCACTACAGGTTTATTACAGAGTTTTCGAAAGCACCTGTTTGTTGAGAGCAAAATAACTTCCCGTATGATTGGTTGGGAAATCCTAAGAAGTTTCGTGTGGTGTCATCTAGAGTAGTAGAATATTCGTTTTGGTTTATATGAGAGCAAGTCACCACCGACTAACTTGAGCTGGTCGTTTGCAACGCGCACATTCGAGAATATGCCGAAGCCGGTTGTCACTCCGTAGACGGCTGAAAATCGTTTGAATTGATATCAACACACACGAACATGTCAAAATGTCCAGCTGCACCAAATAGCAGCGTCGTATTGTATTCGTCTTACCGCGATGTTCGGTGGCGATCTTCTCAAGAAATGTTCGACCTTTGTGAATCCGTTCCTCTACTTCCATTGATAACTAAATCGACATGCCGTTTCATAAATGACCTTACGAATTTTTACACCTTTATAAGGGTAATTTTCAAAAGTGAGCACTTCGTGAGCTGAAGAACAGGATTTTGCGCTTTGATAGTAGTTCGACTAAAACCAGCTTTCTCTGTCTCACTTATGCCGTCCGAACGACTATTATATTATTGCATTCTTTTATTGTATGGCTTCTTTACCTACCTTTCTATAAGTCTGCTTAGAAAAATGTTGCCGAATCAAAGGAAAATTCTGCACCAGATATTTTTTCGTCTTTCTAGCTGACATTTTAAACACTCTTTGGAAGAAGGGAAAGCTATGAATCCCCGTAAACAAAAGTCGAATAAGCTTCTTGCCTTCGCAGATCGTTCAGCATATCACAATGGGTACCGGAACCCTTTAGCGAAATAGTTTTTTAGTTTTACCTTATTGAATTTTTTATTGACTTCAGCGCTGATAACTTATTTAGGTTTTGTCGTTCCTTGATAAGCCAGTGAAGTTGTTTACTGTATCTATTTGACATTCGTTAAACTGTCTGAGAATTTCCCCTCCTTCTTCAGTGTGTGAGAGAGGATCACACTAACGCTCAGCTTACTTGATCTTTCACTTGACAGTGTACTTCTAAACCTGAGTTTTTAAAACTCACAAACGACACGTCAGAGGATGAGATTCGTTGAAGTGACAAGTAAATTTTAACAATTATAGCTAAACAGCGTCTTACGAGCCCATTAAGATGTCGTAGGAGATCAGTTAGGTATCCAAAAGATGTTACCGATGAAATCTCTACCTGTATCACACATTCTCCACGTTCACATCGTACTAGATCAGCTGGGAGCAAACTGTCACCATCCAATATAAGCAGCTTTGTAGGTCTTTCAACTTGAGGAAATTCCGGGGGTAGCTCGAAATCGAATCTGATTCTGAAGCTCCTTTTGAATTTACTTGTTACAGCTGACCAAGAAAGTACGTTAATTTTGCTCACTTTCTCGGTTTGTCCAGCTTTTCCAGAGTGTTGCGAGTTGTCTCCAGTTCCACTTGTCTTTGTTTCTCTTTTTCTTCTTCCGTCTCATTATGATTGATTACTAAATGGTCTCCAGATTTAAAGACTAATTTTTCTGGCAAAATTAAGAAGAATAGCTACAACTGCAGTTTTTGAGGAATAAAATATAAATCTACCAAGGATAACAAAATCGCCGTCTTTCAGGACATCTCCGGCCCGATCTTCTGGGTCAAGCAGAGAATTTCCGACAGTCCGTCGAACCTCTTGATACGGATTGCCTTCTTTTGGGATTAGAACAGCTGGACGTAATCTGCGTATCTTAGCGACCGTCTTCAGTGCAATCTTAAAAATTTCTCTGCACTTCAAACGATTTTTATCGGTAGGAAATATTAAGTTGTACATTACTAGCAAAGCTGTTAAGATTTGTTCCTACTGCACTAGAAATTTGCAATGAAATAGATTTCAACTTCTTTATTTGCTGCCTATTCTTTTTTAATAGCAGGGTATGTTGCGAAATATAACTTATATAATGTATATATACTTATATAAATAGATTTCGCCACTTACACTATGAACTGTTTCTTCCTCTTCATACGGAATAACAATGCACTCAATTCCGATTTGAACTTGTAGGCGCATCTCTCCTGGAAACCCTCGTGAAATTATGGTTTACAGCTCGTAAATTCATTGAAATCAGCGTTGTTTCCAAATGATAGAAGAGTGCGTGCTGAGCACAACGACCAAAGGGTTTGACATTAAAAGCGGAAGTTCACAGCTCCTAATCTCTTAGATATGGAGAAGTGGAATAGGGCGAAGAACGGAAGGGTTTAGCAGAAAACTTCCCATCTTATTTATGACACTATTTTCGCAGCATTCATATTCAGACATGCCGCTCCAAGAGCGATTAAAATTTGTGATGGTAGTAAATAGAGTAACAGAAAGTAATAATAGAGCCATCCGCTACACCGGATTCCACCACCGATCTACAACTATCTGCTGCTGATGTCGGTTACCGGCAAAGTAGTACTGCGATGATTCTTTACTGCACAAACACTCTAAAGCAATAAAGTTAATAGTAACGCGTTTTGATGGTCGCCATAGTCTTTTGCTCGATGTTCACATCAAAGGACAAGATGCTAGCGTTAGTTGGAATTATCAAAGAAAACTGTCTTTTTTCTAAATAAAGCGCTTTGTTCCTTTGCTTCAACTGAGTGTTGTTCACTATTCTAAAAGGTGAATTCTCCGATGTGCTTACACTAATTGAAGAAAAGAAGATAGAACAGAGATATGTGAAGGACCACGACAGAAAAAACTGTATGGAAGAGAGCACACTAACACTTTTGATGCATGAAAAAAAAGCATGGAATAGCCAAGGAAAGTGGAAAGTAACCTAACTGTTGCAATCTATTTTTACAGCGTTGCTACCGATTACTGTATCGATCAGAGTTTTGCGTCAATATCAAGAAATTCTTTTGAAGAAAAGAATGCATAGAAGAAGTTGTCTAGAAAGCTTATGACTTCACTAAAGAAGCCATAAATCGGTAAAATTTTGAGCCTTAAAGACAATCCATAGGTTGAAGTGTATGGAGACGAGTACTTCATAAGGAACAAGTACAGGTAGGCCGATCGAGTCAATCAATGACAGACAATTATCAGATACGTCTGTTCATTGCAACACTCCTCTCCGTACCTCGGCTGTCGAACCAATCTAGAAGTTCTCCAGCTTGGGCGTCATTTGTTGAAGACATCGACATTAGAACTGGCAAGAACTTCTGGACTTGTGGATTGCGGCATTTTCTGAGACGACAAGAATCCAAGCCTCAACAAAAGTGCTTTGCAATCTTGAAAATTGGAGAATGAAGATTTGTCGAAATATGTCTCCTCTGCATTGGCGAAGAAGGGTCTTTAAATATGGTTTGTGTTACAAATACCCTAGTATTTATGAATGTTTGCTAAATTTGCCGGCTTTTGTAAGAAATTCAAAAATAGATGATTTGTCTATTTTTCTTCCACTAATGGAATGTTGACATATGGCTAGAGTTCAAATACCTATGCTGACTGATCATCGATGAATGGAACAGGAATAAAATCAAAAATGCGACCATATCTGTTCAGCATCACCGAATACAACTAGACGATTGTTGAGTGCTACTATCGGTTAGAAGGAGTAAGTAGAGTTATGTAGCTAATGCGCAATCGTGACCGGAACTGATGAGAGTGCTCCGACCGTACTACGGTAGGCTCATTTTATATGGCGCTGCGATCTCGATGGACCGTCTGACTCGTAAACTAAGGCCACTTGGCGAATAGTACGCGTTAGGGCTATCAAACTCGACCGCACCTGGTCATAAACGTTCACGAATAGACCACATTAAAGAGTAGCGCATGAGAATCAGTGACGAGGATCGAACTATACGACTCGTGATGACGATGAAATGTCGATGAAAAACGGCAACATCATCCCGTTCTCGAGGACGCGAAACTTTACTACAACTCTACAACTGCTACTGTAGTTATGGGATGTCAAACTGCATCATTCGCTCCCACACGTCGTCCTTGTCGATCTGCGCTGAGAAAGCTCCTTGCAGTTCTTCGACAGTCAGAGCCGATGATCGGAGTCGATGGTCCACAGTTGTTCGTCCTCGCGATGTGCTGTTTTGTCTTTGTATCACGTCGAGTCTTCTTCGGCAGTGCACCGCTCAAATGAGGCAATCTCACCCTGCAACGCCCTTTTATACTGGACAGTTGTTGTTGATATTGATTGTCCGGTGATAATAACTTGTTCTCTCGGACAATTCATCATGCAGTAGTCTGCTTATCAATGAAAGAATACATATTGATTAGGCATGTCGAAGTCAAAGGAAAGTTGGTTTTTGAACTATTTTTACGCTATATGCTAGCTGATAATGGTATCAACTTCTGAATGTTGGATTGTCCTTTGAAAAACAAGTTATTGTCATCGAACAATCGATATTACCAACAACCGTCCTCTATAAAAGAGCATCCGTTGGGTGAAGTTGCCTCGTCGGAGCGATGCTCAAGTGGAAGGACTCGACACGTTACGACGACGAAAGCTCTTTGTCGTAAGGACAGACGAATGTGGACTGTGTACAAGGATCATCGGCTCTGAGGAAGACGAATACAAGAGAACGTTAGGCGAATAAAATTTATTTGTCAACCTCGTGTTGGCTTATCAATGAAAGAGTATAAAAAGTCTTATGAACTATGGTTTAAAGTACCACCACCCTAACGCAGCACTATATTCATTGATTATGACGCCTTGAGTTTTATTTCTTTACTTGTTTTGCATGATACGTCATCACATCAACTGTGCGGGTCCCAGCATTTCTTGCAATCGATTCCTTTCCTCACATCGAGCAGCCACAGTGGTCTTCGAACGTCTCGCTTACTGTTTGGCTGCTGCTTGAGGATTTTATCTTCTTTATGAATGTCGTTGAGAATCACGATGATTGGAAGAGATCGTTGGCGTGAGGAACGAACTAGCGCCGCTTGCTTCCTGATCGATGGCATCACTAACCACTGTGCTATCCCTGACCATCCTGTACAGAAGTTCCATGTTCTTCAGAGCATTAAGCTAACAAAAGGTTAATAAAGATGTTTGTTTGGCTAACGTTTCGACGTCTTCGTCTTCATCAGAGCCGAAGGCTGATGAAGACGAAGACGAAGACGTCGAAACCTTAGCCGAATAGACATCTTTATTAATGTCGTGTTAGCTTAACGATCCAAAAAGACACTGATTATTGCTACCGAGGTTAAATGACGGTCGGTTTCAAAATGTTGCGTAAAGCCATACAGCCGTAAGTTAACATACATCAGACAATGTGCATTGACTTCATTTCATTTTTCTAATGTTGTATTTTGTCGTGTGCAGCTTTTTTGCCATTTTTTTGTAATAGTTGGATAGCATATTCAGAATGAAAAAGTAGTGTCTAAGTTCTATAATTTAAAAAACTTAATTGGACGCATTTGTTCGTCACCAGTACTTTGCATAGTGGTGGCTAACTATTGCCACCTCCAATCCCTAGAATGGACCATGGTTCTCGTGTTGAATGGGCGGATATGAAAAATGCCGAAGCACACTCAGCATAGGTAACAGAACAGGATTCAAAATACTCAAAAAAACTGGTATATCCTCATACCTACACAACAAAGACCGTCCTAAAAACCATTTATGTTCGAAGCACTCATGTCTTCTGGTTCATGAAAAAAGCTTCTTTCAAAAAGTGGAAGATGCGAAGCATGAGTGCTGGGGAAAGTTGTTAGAATTTGGGCAAGGAATTCAATGGTGAAAGACATGATAATGTCTTGCGAAAGTGCAGTGACCTGAAGCAGGCTAATTTTGTTTAAAGCTTTTCGCATTCTTTCCAAACCAGAGAAAAACGTGTCAAATTATAAGACAAGGTCAAGAATACTACGAAATAGTTAGAAGAATAAATGAAGAATGTTCAGTGTCAATCTAACACACAAAGCACATCAGATATCCCTAATTCGGTTTTTCGTAGGCGTTTTTGCTCAGCTGTCCACCACTTGTTCTAACTTCTTCCTTGGACTTTATCAGTGTTCATCTGTCAGTTATCCGTTTTACACTCTGCCACTCCTAACCATCAGAAAGGGTACCTTGCGAATCACGTCAACCGCAAAATAGGTGGTCGATATCTACCCATTCTTGTTATCGTCGAAGATGACTTTCTAAGCTCGACTTTGGCTCCTATAAATACCAAACTGAGGGCGATCACTGTTGACACTATCTCAAATAAACATTGCATGAGTGTTAGCCCGAACATGTTTTTTCCCGAAATCCCAGACGCAAATAGTAACTGGCAAAAAGCAGGAAAAACAGGGTATCTATTTGCTGAGCTTTAAAACAGGAAAGACTGTTTGTGTATACAAATTAGAACTAGGTCATTAACACCAACTACATTCTTTTCTCACGGCCAAATGCAACAAATCTGAAACTTCTACATTGGGAAGCCTTGGCGCATGACGCAAGCGAGTGGAAACTACTTCACCAGGTTGACGAATACGGATTACAAATGCTACAGATAAATCTATTGTAGTGTCCAAATTTTCCCACTGAAAAACGGAGACGATACCAAGGATGAATTAATCTTAGAAGTCAATAAAATCATTATAAATATACTCATACGGTGTCCCTTATTTTAATAGGAATGTTTGTGTCATCCTCCCGACGTTTTACCGCCTCATCGCGGCTGGGAGGTGTTCCTGAGTGTCGAACTGCGATGTACAATATGGGGAATCGTACACCAGCAGGGTCTTCCATGCTCAGAAAGGAACCGGCGTTTCCATCAGGAAACCTAGCTAAGAGTAAAGCAATGCCAGGATCTACCACCGTCCTGGCATGAAACTAGTCGTATGGTGGCAAATCTCTTTCTGATCAAAAAGGCTGGGACTACCTGTGGTAGTGACCACCTGGAGCAGACTTTGGCCAGGCTGACCTCGGGACTTCAGGGAAGCAGAGTGGCCATACCAGCAAAGCTCCGAATAAACAGAAATTACGTTGAGGCCCATACAACAAGTGAAGACGGGCCATCCAAGCATCCAAGTTGTTGTTACGCGCTTTTTATGATGATGTTCTCTTGTGCTTGGCTTGTCGTCAGATACCATCAGGCCAGTAAACTCCCATGCTCTTCATCTCATGAAAAACTTCTGATAAATTTCTACCTTGAAAGTTAGTGAAAAATCCCGTAAGGCGGTGGATAAGCTTGTCGTAACGTACAACACCGTCGTCATTACATTCATAGTGAGCCGCATATTCATCTTCAAAAAGCTCTGATCCGGTGTGACTTGTATTACTAAAGGAGAAATGATTATCAAAAAGGACATAGCGATATCTGGTTTACGATTACAAGTGTAATCCGGCACAAGCTTTACGACGTTGTTTTCTTCAAGTAACAAACCACACTGCGGCGTCCTCTAGCACTGAACACACATCCTTGTCACAGTCTTTATCTCTACACGAGAAAATTCTCGAGCTTTCAAAATAAGTCACACGGAAGGAATTCACAGAACAGCTTACGTTCCATCTATCTCAAGAACGCACGTAAAAGTCTAAGGTCCATAAAGGCAAACTAGCTGACAACATGGAACCAGTAAAATTTCTCCACAGAAAAAATAATAGAAACTGAAAAAAACGAGATGGGAGAAAATCACATCAAAGCAAACCACAGGACTAGATGAAGCAGAAAGAAATTTCACAGAAAGTTTTAAACACACTGGATACAGAGAACTGTGTGTTCACGGAAGAAAGTAAACTACTAGTCACTGAAAAAAGTAGGCAAAATAGTTTTAAATAGTCAAAATTTTCAAACTAGTTTAATGTGTTGCTACCACAAAAAGCCTTCCTATAAAGGACATTTAGAATGAGATCGAAACCGGTATGAATATAAAATGAAAGCAGCCACAAAAAGTGAACTGGGGACTTAAATCCATTTGAAAGAATAACAAGAATATAGAAATTAATAACAGAATAAAGGCGATAATGATTCTGAAGTATTATTCTTATGAACAAAAGATACAGAGGCTGACAACGAAACCGACTACCACAACCAAACAGACATGTCCTGCATGAGTGGGGCTAGTGCGGCATGAGCCGCCATCAAGACGGCTAGATCGTCAGCTCCCTCTGAAACGCTTCTTTTCACCGTTAACGGAACCTATGACCAAAAGTGCAAGTAATAAAAACACAAATAATATATCTTCGCGTTTGTAGAACAACTTACGGTGGTCTTCTTCATATAGTTTAATGCTAAATAGATTCTGGAAAATCTATGGCAAAATCAAATCTAATACATGACCCTTGAGATGCACTGGATGCAATGCTTCCCATAAGAAAATAATGATGGCCTTGAATTTTAAACTAAAACATCTCTTCTCATATTAAACTTTACTACTTGCGATGTAAAACATTCGAATCTGCAGGTCTTTTCCTAAAAAATATGAGTTATTTTTAACCACATGTAGCTGGTCCGGTTTACCCATTGCTGATTCCGCAAAAAAATGTATGACTCTTTCACTACCTGGATGATCCCGATTAATTTTCTGCCATAGATCACAAATTTTTTAAGACCGGCATTAGCTGTCACAGCAGGACACCATAGAACATCACTGATGCTTCAGTGATTTGTCTTGACGAATTCTACAGGTCGCAATATTTTTTCATTCGACCAGCATTAGCTGCTCAATTCTGTGGAACCCAGAGAAGTTATGCCGTGGCATTCTCAGGTTCTCACTGTAAGAAGTCGCTGGTCTTTGGGGATTGATGCTCCCAATAAGACTAGATTTTCCTCAGAGCGGTGCAAATCATAGCGTTGTTGAACATGCATGGTATTGATGAAACCCTCCGGAGTTCGAGCGAACAAAAGATAATACATTTGCAGTATACAGCTCGATACCTAGAAACACGCTTTCACTACGGTGAATATGTAAACCATTAATGCAGCACTTTGGAACATTTTGGTGTCAATATCAATATCGCATTTGCAGAAGGGACCATGGACGATTGGTGCTTCACTGATTCTTGCGCATCACTAGCGATAACATTATCTTCGAGACAGGTGATGGTCAAGCGGAGACAACTTCGTCAAGTATGAGGAGTTGAGTCGTCAGACGAAAAACCAGCATGGTACTGCTACACGACCGAACTGTATACCTCGACGCCCTGTCTTCAATAGGAGTGTGCGTCTCAACACATCCTCCATTCTTGTCTTCCACGTCCAATCATTGGGTGATGGCAGCCAGTCCGTTTTGAATACGATGACCGCCAACCCTAATTCATGATCCTTGAATGGATGCCATCTGCGAATGCAGACGCTATGTGCCACAAATATGTCCGCTCATCGTGGAGGTAGTCGTCCTAGAGAACACTTTGCATTTTGTCGAATTCACAGTCCTTTTATCTATTTTCCGCCGAATTTTCTTATTGTATGACTGGCCATTTATGTTAAGTGCTCGATTTAAATTCTTTTAAATCTCTAAGATGAAATTAATTCTAGAAATCTGAACTGAAAAGTCCGCAAAAATGCTGCTGTACCATTCTATTTTAGAGTACATTGCTGAGAGGCTCTGTGGATATAATATATATATGTAAGACTTGTCAGCCTCCATCTTTGCTGCACAACAGGGAACTTGGCAGATTGTTGAGTCGAAAAGATAAGGGCGGAGTTTTGGGCGCATTAGTCAACCACTTGGTTCTCTGAGGCCAACCACTGGGACCCTGTGCCTTTCCCTCAGCCAGTTTTCTACACACACGGTGCCATCAGCAATTACCCGTCAACGGGAATGATTGCCAGGAAGGGTGTCGTAGGTTAGAGTCTGGTTTGGGGTTCGAAATGCGAATGTCTCAGCACCATTGTGGTTGTATTTAATACCCTCCCATGGAAAAAATAGGCACTAAACAAGAAGCTGAGATATACGCAAAGCGAAGGACCCGGATGGTGTAGTGGTGAAGTGCGCTGCTCCCCGGTAAGGACAACGGCGCGTGTTCGTTCTCCACTGCATACACCGGTGGTCCGGAGTTTTGCAAATATCTCAGCATTTCATACTAAACAAGAAGGTTAAACATTGTGAAATCGTAAAGCAGTCACGGATATGCCCCAAGCCACCCTTTTTGGGTAGGATGATCACGTGAATGGTACTCTATTGGTCTGGATACTTTCACTTAAAGAGGTAAGATTTCATACGCGTCACGAAAACAACGGTTTGCGGCACTCACACCGAACGAAGTCGGTTGTAATATTATTGGACCTCCAAGCTTTGCGTTTCTTCACGCTTTACGTCTCAAATAAAATTTCAAAGGGAAGAATCCCGAACGGTTTTTCTCCAGCGCTGACGTCGAAGTCCTAGACGAGGATTGCAGAAAGAAGATTGGTGTGGAACTTTTCGATTGCTCAATCTATCCCACTGCAGAAGTGGCACTGGTCCCGCTTTTACCATAAGGCTTGATAGCAAAACACTAGAATTGTTCTGGTCGTCCCACTAATAATCGCAAAAATCCAGTGGAAAGAGCACCGCTCGAGTGGGGAACTACGCTCCGCTGTGCACTCTTATAAAGGACGAATGTTGGTCGATTCCCGCCATCCAATATGATCAGCACTTTGGCGGACAATGCGTCCTGTGGCAATCGGTACTTCACTTGATGGCTCATAGCATGTCGATATCCTAGAAACTGGGCTCGACCCGATGCGACTATGAAGACGCACATCGCAGAAACAACCACTTGCAGATCATCGATTCGGATCAACGAGACTCCAAGAAAGGGGAAGGCGCCGAAGTGCTAGCCGGATAAAAGCCTTATGCAAACGTCATGTATCATATCATCATATCATTAGCGACGTTTAATGACAGTCGGATTATGAGATATATGCATATTATACATATATATATGTATATATATATATGTATATATATATATGTATATATATATATAACAATAGCAGCATTTACGAGCAACTTGCTAGCTCTTCTTGAGTAGACTTATATACAAAAAGGTAGCTCTCGGCGTTGATCAATCCCTGAAGGATGGACCATGCATTCGACGATTTGGCGCCACTTCATTAAGCATCATTTGGGGTGATTGAATGCATATACGGCTTTTACAATGGTTTGCAGTGGCCTACCGATGTATCGAGCCAATGCCACTATCCTCCCATGCAAGACCGATACCAACTTGCCGACTCCGGAGGAGTGGAAGATTTGGTGGGCCTGGAACACGGGGATCGACCCCATGCACATTGCAGAGCGTCTCCGATCACTTGTTTACACGCGCGCTAGACTTATATATAGGAATCTAAATCGAACCCATAAAACTCCCAGCCACTTACGATTGAAAGGCTTTAAATGACTCGTTGTAAGGGATATAATCTACATACACCCAAGCAAAAAAAATGAACCGAATTTTTAGCGAAATACAACCACAACGTTGCTGAGATATTTGCAAAACTCTGGACCGCAGGTGTCCATGGTGGGGAGAGAACGCGCTATTGCTGTTGGCGGGTGATTGCTGATGGCGCTGATCGATAGAACTAGTTGAGAGGCAGGCGAAACGAAGGACTCGCATGATGTGGTGGTGAACGCGTTACTCTCCGGAAAGGACAATAGCGCGTTCGTTCCCCACCATAGACACCTGCGGTCCAGAGTTTTGCAAATATCTCAGCAACGTTGTGGTCGAATTTTTAGCGTTCATGAATAATGCGAAAGACAAGCTTAATAATTTCAAATAAAATAACGCGTGTCCATCCAAAAAATCACGATGCGCGGAAATTCCGATCTCACACAATTTGCCTTTGGCTTAGATGCGCTGATGCGTTGAGTTGGCAGTGATTCCCGAGCACTTGCTGGTAAATGGTGCTGTCAGCATACGTTGAAAATGACTGTGTCAGTCAGGCAGACCTCTGACAATGACACACAAGAAGCTTACGATATACCAAAAAAAAGTCTTTCATTTACAATTGAAGCAAGCGTGCAAAACACAACACCAGATTGAGTACTTAGTGATATTTCTATTTGTATGACATAGTGGTGAACAAAGTGTAAAAAGCACCTATCACTGCATAGAATCACCAAAAGTCAAAGGTTAACTAAAACTAAACGTACCTTCACCACGCTGAGAAAACTCCTTCATCTGCCTGGCGTATAAATCGCAAACATTGTCGTAAAATTCTCTGCCACGATCTCTAGTTAATGCATGCATAGTTTGCATTAAAGGTTGTCGAACAACCTCATCTATATTCATATTCCAACGATACGATATCTGGAAAGCGATGTTAACATAGAGACTTCATTAATAAATCGAGAACGCACAACTCACAGTCATAAAAGAATTGAACATAAGGCAGGCTTCGTCGACATAGTTGTGATTCATACGGGCAACTAGGGAAATTGGTATAAGTTGTGGCCGATGAAGAAGCAAGGAGACGAAGTTGTCGAATGACCATGGTTCGGGTATTGCTGCGAAAACATTTGATAAGGAAAATCAGTTCGGCGACCAGTTCACATGTTTTTTCAAATATAGAAAAGTAACGTACTGCTAAGTTCTTCGATGAGATTGAAGACATCATGTTGGGTCCAGAAGTAATTTTGATCGCTCAAATTTTTGGTTTTCAGTAGTGAATACAGAACATCCGAAAGTGGCTTCAACAGCGCTCTAGCTAACTGCTGTGATGCAATGCTATTTTCGCAAAGAAGTCGCCAGTCAATGACTGCTAAACGACATGATTTTTTACAAAAACAAGAATTAGTTATGTTTGAAAAATAAAGAGTATAGAGGTCAAACTAGAAACATGAAATCTAGGAAGGACGATCAATCAAAGAAAAACACACTTTCATTTAAAACAGTGGTTGTCGGTCCAAACAGCACCATTAACAGCTTGCTCTGGTTGTTTGGTAATGGCATTGTACGGATCACTGCAGAAAGCCAGAAGGTGTACTCAGAATCCGCTCCATCATATTGAGCATATCGACCAGATAACAACAGCTGACAAATACTTTCTCGCACCTGGAAAATATCTGATTCCAATGAATACAAATAATACCTTAAACTCACTAGTGTGAACATATTTTATGTTAACATATTGATGCAGTAAGCAAGAGACTGATGTGTAAATGGCAAAAAATGTCATTTTACCGACAATATTTTCAAAAATTTGACTGAACCGCAAAAACTAACTAGGGAAGAGGACGAGGAGGGAAAAGATAACGGTGACAACGATAGAGACGATGACAACACCTCAGTAGTAAGGAAAAGAAAGAGTAATAAAATGTGAAAAAAAGACCGCTCAATTGCTTAATTGATTGCATTGCGTCAAAACTTCTCCAAAATCTCTACTGAGACAAAATGAACGATACTAGCTGAAATTTTGAGGCTTCGTAAAGTAAACAAAATAAAATAAAGAAACAGTAAAGAATAATAAATGCCAATAAATTGTTGCACTTCAGGGTATTCGATGTTAGATAAAACTGCTGTTCATTCAATAATATTTCAGCACAAGCTAGTACACTACCTGCATCTCAAGCTTCGGAATCGAACCTGGGCTATGATCGGACAGTTCCTTAAGAGCATTTTTAAGTTGACCACCTCTCCACTCAAGCACGGCCTCTAGGACTTTTGCACATTCACTAAAAGCCCAGTTGGAACACATCTGCAAAAATTATATTTGTCGAGTTTCTCTCTATCGACTACGTTGTTACAAAAGCCTTGATTGTTTTCACCTTCCATAACTAAGCACACGTGTACAAGTTCTAATCATTATTAATCGAAACGAAAACCACTAGAAACTACACAATTGTTCCAACAAGATACAGTTCTGCTGGTTCCAATGCAGTAAAACTCTAGGTTTGTTAAGGCCTCAGATTTTCCGAGGGCAATTTCAACAGTTCAACGAATAGTTTATGAGCAGTTGGATATGGGCTCTAAAAAGTGGTAGCATGACGAATGGAAGTTCCTGAGTGTGCTCGGCAAGAAAGAGGATCGTGCTATTGCTGTTTTAAACCTTACACTGTTGGTTGCACGACATGTGCTCGTGCTTTGTACATAAAAAACTGGATTTTTCAATCATCGTGGTTCCCGATGTCGAAGATGGTGGTGCACGTTGTCTACTTCCTGACAATGTAGTCCTTTGAGGTAACAATTTATCCAGAATCCAGGAAAAGTGGAGTAGTCCTTCCGACGACCAACAAACTGCGACCGTAACATTTTTCGTAAAAATCTAGCTTTCTTGTGTGCTTCAATGAGTTATCGTTGCCCAATCTTGTCTAATCAATCATTCAAGTTGTAGAAGAAACAGCTGTACTAAAAAAATTGCGAAACAAGCTGTTTAAATGGATCCTATTTAATTTGTGCCAAAAACATTTGTGTTTCCTTTTAACTTTCTAATTCTATGTTTCTGAAGCGTTTTGAACTGCTGGTTTAATCACTTGGAGTTCTTCAGTAAATTTTCGGTAAACTTTCGAATACAGTGCATCTGCTTTATCCAACGTATTCAAATGTTCTCCGACCAGAAATGTGTTCATCCACATCCTCGTCCATCTTCAGCAACCTTATATCGATTGCGAAATTTTTGGAACCACTTTGCGAAGGGTTTCCGTAGATCTACGTGCAAACTTTAAAAGGACCAAAATTTACCAGCCCTGCTTTTTCCTTTCAATTTCAACCATGCGTATATTCAACAGAAATTGTGAAAATGTAGACATATAACCTTATTTCACGTGTTGGCTACGATGTTAGCCTTTGTTGGCGGTTGCATCATATGGGACACATAGCGTTCAAAACGCATTACTTTGAAGCAGTGACACCAAATGCGCTCCTCATGAACATCAGGCTCTGTGAAGGAAAGAACAAACGCGTCGATAAAACATAAATCCCATGATTTATAGAAACTAGTTTTTGCCAACCAATATCTATTACAATATCTGTGGTGAGGTAGCAACCTACTCAACAAAAAAGGTGCTACGAAAAATATCAGCGCCAGAAGCAAGCAAAGAGAAAATGGGACATTTACGAACCGCATATGGCTCATACTGGTCAAAGCATCGGATACGCGTGGGTAATCTACGACTCATATTGTCGGAGATGTTTTGAAAAACCACATTAGGGAAGTTAAATGGACGAAATAGACAGAAATCTTCTGAAGTTTGAAAAATTCAGATGAAGAGATCTACTCACTGTGTGAAGAACTCTTCCTACTCCAAGGTTATCGATTCCATCAGAGAGAAACGCTCGTTCACAGAATGATATCAATATCTCAATTTTTTTCGAAATAGGAAGATATACACATATAGATTTCAGAAGTTTACCTGAAAATGAACACGTCAAGAATTTGGTAGTAATGTCAACGAAACTGCGTACATATCCAGACGATGTATATATAT